CCCTGGTGAGCCTCTTGTCCATGCCTCTCTTGGTGCTGGGGATTTGAACTTGGGTCTTCAGGATTGCACAGCAAGCATATTACGTTCAGAGCCACCTCCCCAGCTCCTTTCTAGCCTTTTGAAGAGCAGAGACTCAAAGCTGCCTGATGTGTATATCCTTGGAGACTTTTGGCTGTTTACTCACTGTGGTCTTTCCTTCCAGGGGAATGGAGTAAGGCTGGTGGCCGGGTCTGCTGAGTCCGCAGCACTCAGACTATGTGCACCTCTGCAGCAGGTGCAGGCCCAGTTGTCACCTCCCCAGAACATCTTCCTATGGATTCTGACACTGTTGCCTCTTCAGATTCTGAGGTAGAGCTCATTCTGCTTTACTAAAGTGCTATGTGACTGGCTCATTCTGTAGCACCTAAGTGGTGTGTGACACACCTAACCGGGCAAATGGAGAAGTTAGTGTTGGTGGGGTTAAGCAGTCACTTTCCTAGTCTTCAGTGGATTAAGTCATGGAGTAGGGGGAAGCTGTTCTGGTGGGTGGGTCCTGTGATCTGAGAGCCTAAGTATGGTGGGTGGGTGGGTCCTGTGATCTGAGAGCATAAGTATGGTGGGTGGGTGGGTCCTGTGATCTGAGAGCATAAGTCCTAAGTAACGTTGTGGAACCCGGTACTAAGAGTGTCCCTGGTAGACTGTCACATCCATTCTAATAGTGAACTCTTTTGTGTTTTGCCTTTTGTAGTCTGATATCCTTTTGGGCATTCTGGACAAGTTGGACCCTGTCATGTTTTTCAAATGTCCTTCCCCAGAGTCTGCTAATCTGGAGGAACTCCCAGAGGTCTACCCAGAAGGACCTAGTTCCTTACCAGCCTCCCTTTCTCTGTCAGTGGGGACCTCATCAGCCAAGCTGGAAGCCATTAATGAACTCATTCGTTTTGACCATGTATACACCAAGCCTCTAGTCTTAGAGATCCCCTCGGAGACAGAGAGCCAAACTAATGTGGTAGTGAAAATTGAGGAAGCACCTCTAAGCTCTTCAGAAGAGGATCACCCCGAATTCATTGTCTCAGTGAAGAAAGAACCTTTGGAAGATGACTTCATTCCAGAGCTGGGCATCTCAAACCTGCTTTCATCCAGCCATTCTCTGCAACCACCTTCCTGCCTGCTGGATGCTCACAGTGACTGTGGATATGAGGGCTCCCCTTCTCCCTTCAGTGACATGTCTTCTCCACTTGGTACAGACCACTCCTGGGAGGATACTTTTGCCAATGAACTTTTTCCCCAGCTGATTAGTGTCTAAAGAGCCAGCAACACTGGGCCCCTTTCCCTGACCATCACACTGCCTAGAGGATAGCATAGGCCTGTCTGTTTCATTAAAAGCCAAAGTAGAGGCTGTCTGGCCTTATAAGAATTCCTCTAAAGTATTTCAAACCTCATAGATGACTTCTAAGTATTGTCTTTTGACACTCAGCTGTCTAAGGTATTCAAAGGTATTCCAATACTACAGCTTTTGAGATTCTAGTTTATCTTAAAGGTAGTAGTATGCTCTAATTTCCAGGGTCATTTGACAGTTATTTCTCAGCCTAACTTCAAACTATGTAGTTGAGGCTAGGATGAAACTTCTGACCTTCTTGACCCCACCTCCCAAGTGCTGGGCTTTACCAGGTGTGCACCTCCACACCTGCCTCTTGACATGTCCCGAAGTGGACATGGGATTCATGAACAGCCCTGTATCATTTCTTTCTCCACCCTCCGCTTCCCAGGTTTCTTTTCGTTTACTTCTACAGGCAGAGAAACACCAACCTGAGGGGGCTTGTTTTCCCTTATGTATATTTTAAATGAAGATCAAGAATCTTTGTAAAATTGTAGAAATTTACTATGTAAATGCCTGATGGAATCTTCTTGCTAGTGTAGCTTCTAGAAGGTGCTTTCTCCATTTATTTAAAACTACCCATGCAATTAAAAAAAAAAAAAAGCCACACAGCATCGTGTTCTGTGATTTCTAGGGCTGTTGTATTTTCTCTTTATTGTTTGCTAGGGGAGTAATTTATCCAACTAAAGTGAACATACCATTTTTTTTAAAGTCACTGAAAGTTTTTCTTCAGATCAGTTACCAATATCACAGTTACTAAGTGGCAGAGATAGAGCCTAACCACCTTTGTTTTTTTTGGGGGGTGGGGGTGGGGGTGGGAATTAAACCTAAGATGTGCATACTGGGTAAGTATACACAAGCTAAACCACTGAGCTGCAGCTTTTTTTTTGCCATGATCAGGATGTTATCAGACTCCCCGATTTTAACTGACACATTGGAGCTGAGTAGCTGAGGGAACAGACAACCAATTATAATTTAGAAGGGCTCTAGAGTGTCTCTAGCAGCTGAACACCTGCCAAGTCTCTTCTATGCACTGGGAAGTTCAGTTTTCAGTCCTGATCCACTTTGGAAAGGTTTTAATCCTTCACTGAATTTTCGTATAGGCTGGGGGTATCTTGTCTAGCATGCATGAAGCCTTGGTTCCATCTCTAGAATGGAAACAAGCAAATTTATTCAGGAAGAAATCAACTATGAAACTTCAGAGACAATGACATCATCCTCACTGCACATTCTACCCTGGCAAAGAACTCCACTTTTCACTGATATAGGCAGATTAACTATTTAGCATTTAAATATATGTTTCCTATCAATATTACTTTGGGGGTGATCAAAGTGAAATTACAGATAGAGTTGTGAGTCCGTAGGGCCAAGCAGGCTACACAGCTGCAAACAATACAAGCTCACGTGTGGACTGCTGTGCTAAGAAGGGCTTCCATGTGCCCACCTCAGGGCAAGGACTTGGCTGCTAAGTCCACAGCTCAATCACTTAGGCCAGGTTCCAGTGTTGTGACTGAAAGCTATCACTAATACTTGAGGACCAACAATCTATGTAGGGATTACACAGGCAGATGCATTTGCCGCCATCCACAGAGCGTAAGTTATTTCTAAAACTCAAGTCATTTACATTTAATGGCGTCACACTGGAGTGGCCGCTGCACTAACAGGATGGGACAGTGTAGATTTCAGGGTTTCATTTCCTGAACAGATGGCCACAAAAGATAACACTCATCATCTTTGACAAAACACCTGATTTTCAAGAACATTTTCATACCGAAACACCAGGCTGCCTGGCTAGATCAGAAAGTCAACCATTTTACTCTATAGAACCAAATACTCTAGTAATACTGTGTTATTCCAGAATTCAGACTAAAGGTACAAGCAATGGCTGCAGACCAAATTCCTGGGCCTCACAACAGCTAGGCAGCTGCCTCATTGCTTTTCTGTCAGATGAGCTTCTGGAGCTGGACAGCAGACACATGCCTCCTCCAGGAGTAACTCAATTCTTGTTTCCTAGAAACTCAACTGTTACTTTTGTGATCTTATTGAGATATCTATATTTTTTGTATTTTGTGTGTATATGTTCCATGTATATATAGGTATGAATTCCCATGGGTACATGTGTTAGGCCAGAAGTCAACTTTATTTTCTGAGACATCCCTCACTGAACCTGGAGCTCACAAATTCAGGTAGACTAGCTGGCCAGTAAGCTCCAGGACTCTCCTACCTGTCTTCCCAAGTACTGAGATAACAAATGTACACAACCCCCAACCCCCTTTAAAAATGAGTGTTAGGGATCTGAACTCAGATTGCTTACAAAGCAAGCACTTTATTGCCTGACCCACCCCGCTAGACCTTTGAGACAGGGTCTCTTGCAGTCCATGCTGGGTTCACAATGGGACAGACAATAACTCTCAATTTGGGATCTTCCTCTGGCCTCCTCTCAAATGCTGGGACTATAGGACTATATTACCCCACAACTTTACCCTGTGACTTACATTTCTTTCTGACAACCTATTTGTGTTTTAATCATATTTGCTCCAATATCTTCATTTCCCCTCCTACTGAACCCTCTCTTCCCAATTAACCCCGCTTCCATCTTGTATGAGTGTGTCTTATTGTATTTAAGGTTGCTTGTATATGCATGGGCAGCTTACCAGTAGCTAAGAAAATGACTCTCTAGCAACCCTCTTCACTTCTGTCATTCATGAAGTAGGATGACTGGTATACCCACCCAAGCAAGGCAGCAAGTCAACATGGTCTTGCATTTCAGCAGTGTTCAAAGTGCATCTCTAAAATGTCACCACTAGTCTGAGGGACGAGGGGACTAAAAGAGAACCAAATCAATACACATCAACCTACTATCCTTTGAGTATCCACTCACAGGTCATACAGCCTGGAACTCACTGTGGAATAGTCTGGTTTTTCAAACTCTAGGGATTCTGCCTCTCTCTTGAGTGATGGGATGACAGGCAAGTACCACTAGTAATTCCTCTAATTTGGTATCACTCTGAGTCATACTCCATTGTTTCAATGAAGTCGCCATGACAACATCACAGGCACTAAAAGCCAATAGTTGGTGCAAAGCAAGCACCCTGGGACTAATTGGCTAGTGAGATACTGAGTTGTAACTATCTATTTTCATCTTAGTTTCCGAGCTGTTATGTTAGATAACCTTTACCATGGTTTTCAAAATTTGGTTAAAAGTTTGTTGTTTTTTTCCTGCAACTGTAACCCAATGACTCAGGAGTCAAGGATCTGGTTAACGAAGAATGACTGAATATGTAGTCAATACTGCCACCCAGTGACCTGTCGGCTCTAGCACAGGATGAATCAACACCATAGACTTTGCCTAGTCTCTTCAAACCCCTCCAACTTGAGCTTCTAATTCTATCTACATCTCAACACTGAAGGCTCCAGTCACAAGGTCAGCACCTGATGTCCCATGGGAGTGACCTGCTAAGGAGAATGTTATTGGTACATTAACAAAGGCAAAGCGGCCTGCCAATTCCAGAAACATCTTACCTTTTAACCCCACAGTATCAAACTTTCAGGACTAACTTTTCACTGATAAGGTCGCTGCCTTAATTAAAATTTAAAGCTAAGGGAAAAAACCGCTTAATTTACATTTATACAGGATTACAGATACTTTAAAAGTTCAAAACATTGAGTTTTATTGAAAATAATACACAAACACCAGGTTCTCATCTTTAAAGCAAATCTGACACATCTTCCAGAACGTGGCTAGTACTGCAGCATTCTTGTCTATAAACAAAGCCAGGCTCCAGATCCAGAGCGGTGAACGAACCTGCTGGCTAAGAGTCTCCCCTCAGTTCTAAGACCTGTCTTGTTTCTAAATCTTAGTTTTATCTTTTTAAAAACGAGCAATTTTTAACTGATTTTTTTATCATGAGAACTGGATTCTCATATTTCTTCATACTAAGAACAACAAAAACCCAAGCCAAGAACCAAAAAACCCACGCACACCCACACCCAACTCATTGAAAACACGCATTTGTTCCTCAGAGCTCACCTGCTTTAGGTAACGGTTGACCTTCACATTAGCACACTGAGTCCATGTTTGATTCACACTGTAAAAACTATACAAGATGAAAAACCTGTTAATTCTTTAGGAAAACCTTAAGGCAAAAGCCAAAGTCTTATACTAGAAAGAAAACAGAATGCAGAGGCTTCAGGGCTGTGGACGGTTGGGTGTAAGCACCACAAGGATGAAGATGATTTTTGTACAAACATGTTCAAGAAGATAAAGTCCAAAAAGGAGCACGGAACATCCACGTTCCTGCTGAAACATGTCATGTCAGGTAAGGACGCCTGCCTGACGAGTTAAGACATCTCTGCTCTCAAGTGGTCACCAACTGCATCAAAGCCACTTCAGGCCTTTCACAGAGGCAGTCCTGGTGTTTCAGGCCCTTTGGAAAGCTGCCACTTCCTTCCTACCCTAACACTGGGCTAACTCCAGACTCTTGGCAGTCCCTGCACATTTCTAAACTGTTCTAGCACAGAGATTTCTTTAAGGCTATAAACTTCACAAGTTGGTCCCATTGAATTAGCCAGGAGTTTGTCAAATGACACGAGTCAAACACATTTCAACAGAAGACAGTTTTCATTCACCTCTGAGTCTGAGATGAAGAAACAAGTAGCTGGTTTCAATACTGGTTTGAAGGTTGAGTAACTTTATTGTGTAGACATAAATATTTTGTTTAAATATTAAACATTAAACCTTTTCCTGACATCCAGACAGAAAGAGAGAGCAGGAACAACAGGCAAGAGAAGAAAACAGTCCAATGAACATAGGAGACGTGTGACTCCTATGCCATCCACAGGAGGGATTTCAGCATGGGTTGCAAAATGCCAGGAACCTAAGTTTCTGAAAATTTACCTCTACTCAGCATAAACCTCTTGTTTTCCCCTATATAAAGGGAGAAGAGACCCAGAAACTGAAAACTGAACCGAGGTGTTCTGCTGTAGAAAGAGCCACCACACTCACCAGACATGTTCCTGCTCTACAGTGCTGAAGGACCTGCCAGGCCTTCAGTACACGTCCTGCCATGCTGAAGAGCTCTTCCTGAGAAATTAAAAACTTTAACCCTGGTTATTCCCAAAGAACACCTTGAGCCTGGTTCAGGTACTAAAGGGTGAAGATTTCCTGCTGGGAGGAGGCCATCTTTTGCTAATGGTTAGGCTTACTGCACAACAGCTTAAGCACCAGACAATCAGCTATTTCAGTAAATCTCCAAGACACTTGTCCATTTCCTTTCAGCTAATTCACTGCTTTCAGAACCAACATTAAAACACTCAACTTGCTAATACAGGCACAACCTTCCCTTTTTAAACTCTAGAAGCAATCAATGGTAGGTTTAGCTGACACAGCATGTCCTTAGGATTCACGAAAGACACTTCTCTCACAGGCAATTTACCTCACACTCTTTAAATCAATCACTGAAGTTAATTGAGGTGTAAACATTACTGACTAACTGAGCTTATCAGTCATGAAAGGAGACCAAGGGCTACTGCTTGAGTGATCCGGCAACACCAACCTGACACCAACACAAGTTTCTTTGCTTGTTCAATCCGTGCTATCCCCCCCCCCCCCACCAGCCCCTAGCCCCAAGTGTACAGTGACCACTACAAGTAGCTCAATACATGACTCAGCAATTGGTGCAGTGGCAATTAGGAGCATTCCTGTATATAATCATTTCAAGAATGAATGGCTTCAACAATGTGACAGATGACTTAAGTCACCATAACACATCCAGCATCTATAGCTGTCTTTAAAGAGACTGTAACATTTCTTGGATAAGCCTACTAAAAAACTGCATTTCCCTTGAGATAAGCTTCCTTGGCAAGAAGTTGAATTCAATAAATGGCTACCCACAATGACAGTCCCACCCAAGTCACAGGCAGAGGAGATATTACACCCGTTTCATAAAACTTTCAGGCCCCTATAGTGTGCAGGCAGGCTCATACTGAACACAGGAGCCTTCTACCACTTGTCAAGTTGGAGCAGAAACTGGTGCCTAGAGCTCCATCTCTTCCTCTGTGTTAGCAGCTGTCTGCAGACTCTGGGAAAGCGGCGTGTCTGTGCACTGAGGTTCTAGGAACAGTTCAGTTCTCCGTGGGAAGGCAGGGCCCGTAGCTGTGTGCTTTGTTCGGCTCTCTCCCATGTAGTTCTTAGGGTTAGATGATGGCTTTGGCTTCTCAGAAAGGAGTTCAGGGAGAGGTTTCCAGAGCACAAGCTCCATAGAAGGACGGCTCCTGGGATGTAAAATACAGATTTTCATCGAAACCTTTAGGCAATGCAAATAAAGGCTACCTGTAACAAGCTCCCATTCACTACATAAGCCCGTACAGTCAGTTAAGAGCTGGTGTCCTGAAAGGGCTGCTCTGTTACTGGTGTATCCCTATCCACTACCTACTGCCAATTTCACGATTATTTTGATCTTGATGCCTTTTATCAGTTCTCATTATAGAAATTTAAATCCTTTAATTAAAAGTGTGGCTGAGTCATGGTGTTTCATGCCTTCGGGAGGCAGAGGCAATTGGATCTCTGTGAGTTCAAGGCCAACCTGGTCTACAGAGCGAGCTCCAGAATAGCCAGGGCATGTACATAGAGAAACTATCTTGAAAAGCCAAAGGAAACTCAAAGTGCTAACTCCAGCAGCAGATATACTAGACTTTGAATGACACTGATTAGCATGAGCTCTGTACAAAGATGACACACACACCTGGTTTTTGTTTGTTTGTTTGTTTGTTTTTCGAGACAGGGTTTCTCTGAGTAGCCCTGGCTGTCCTGGAACTCACTCTGTAGACCAGGCTAGCCTCGAACTCTCGAACTCAGAAATCTGCCTGCCTCTGCCTCCCAAGTGCTGGGATTAAAGGTGTGCGCCACCATCGCCCGGCCACACGCATCTGTTTAGTTAACCAATATTTTATTTTAAAAGAGAGCCAGAGATATTTAGAATTCAAATGGACTTAGCAAAATAAAAAACAAACTTCTGTGCATGTGTGTCTGAGTGTCCACGGGGATATGAACATGTGTGCAGTAGGGGCCTGCGGAGGCAGGTTCTCCTGGTGTTTCACTAGAGCAGTGGAAACCCTAACCAACACACCCTAAAACAAGTGGGCACCGTTTCCAACCCCTCAAATATGTAAAAATTCACGTGCAGGAGACTGAACCAAGACTCACACGTGTGCGAGCTCCACTTCTTAGCAACATCACAAGCCCTGTATGTAGTTTAAACCAAATCCACCACCCAGTCTTACAGATGCCATGAGTAGCAGTATATAAATCTTCAATGTGGAAAGCAGGGCCTTTGAACTGGGGTATTGGTGCACAGCTTTAATCCCAGTACTCAGCAGGTAGACACAGGTGGGCCTCTGTGAGTTCAAGGCTAGCTTGGTCTACATAGTTGAGTTCTAGGATAGCCAGAGCTACATAGAAAGAACCTGTTACAAACAAAACTACAACAGAACAGGCCTTTGATTTGACTGAATGCTACAATCTGAGGTGGGTATGTTGGGGATGAGGGCCACCGAGTCACCTCAGTACCTATAATGAGACACAGAGACATGCTTTCAACGAGCAGTTCTGCACGACTACACTCTTTTGTTTAGATTTGTGGTACTGAGTCCAGTGCATGCTAAGCAACTAGTCTAGTGCCACACTCTTTCCCTACCTCAATGGGTATCTGTTATATGTTATTATCCAGGAAAATGAAGTCTTGGGCAAACATTAATTTCTGATGCTTTTTGTTTCATATAGTTCTGAAGTAGAATGTTTCACAGTTATACCAAAACAATTACATTAAATATGTGAAATAAAAATATTTTTCTCAACCATAGCTGGGAGCAGTACCTGTAATCCTAGCACTTGGAAGGTGCAGGCAGATTAGTGAGAAGTTCTAGGCTAGCCTGGGCTAAATGAGCACGCATTTCCAAAGTGGAAAAAATTGTCTTTACCCTTGGTATAGGAAAAATCTTCTGGGACCCAGAAATAAAAAGACAATGAAGAATACTCTCAAAGGCTCAGTTCTGGAAAACTACTGAGAACAGCAGACACTATTTTGAGCAGAAGGGCAATGTGACCTGCATACATAATGGCTACACTAAAGACACACCCTTAGGGCTGAAGAGTTAATTATAAACTTAAGCTAGCTAGGGCCTGACTGAAAACCTGCATCTCTCACAAGTAGTAGCTGAATGGCTCCCTCTCTGCCTGAAGGCAACAGTAGCCAGCACTACTGGGGTCTGTGTCCCAAGAGCACTTTCCAGCTCGCTGGACTCACCCTCAGTGCATCTACATCTCCCAGACAGTACGTAAGTGTACTACTGCACGTGAGGACGAGCTCGCCCGCACTGGATCTAGGCTGAGCTCTTTCTAGGCTGCTACTTAGCTTGGTGGGCTCTTGGGTTTGAGTTCTACTCTGAAAATATAGCAAACCAGCTAAGTGAGCTCATTAAACTATGGGCGTCTTTTCATTTTTCTTTCTGTGGTGCTGAGAGCAGACCCCAGGGCTTCACTGGTGAACAGCAAGTCTTCTACCCTGAGACGCTTCTCTAGTCCTTGCTTCTTGTTTTCTTTCTTTGATCTCAGGATGTAGCTTAGTCTGGCTGGATACCATCACATCCATCTTAAAAATATGCTGTGCTTTGACATCACTGTCATCATTTTCTCTTTCTTTTTTGGGGGGATGGGGATGGGGTGAATGACAAAATCTCACTACGCAGCCCTGGCTGGCCTGGAATTCACTATGTAGACCAAAACAGGCTGGAAACTAAAACTTCTGCCTCTGGAGGGCTGCTGGGGTTACCTTTGTAAGCCAGCATGCCTGGCTTACACTATGTTTTAAATCAAGTCAATGAAGCTGAAGGAGGAAAACTGTGGATATGAACCCGGGAACATTGCCACCTCCCCAAAACAAATCCGAAGTTAAAAACACTAAAATGACCTAAGAAGGCTGTGCTACGGTTTGTGGGGTTTGTGACAGCGATTCCAACTGTTACTTATCTGACACATCACCTTCTGTTCCCCAGTCTCCATGCCGAGACTGAGTAGTTAGAGAGAACAGATAAACTGGAGCTTTCAGAATGTGGCTCCTCCTCCTCCTCCCCCTCCTCCCCCTCCCCCTCCCCCTCCAACTTTAAGAGGACGGGCTTGACACAAGCCTTCCTTCCCAGGTGTCAGGAGAGCTAGGCAGAAATGCTATGCACTTACATAGACTCAATCATCTTCTTTGTGAAGACTTCATCAAATTCCCTCTTCAAACCCGTTTTCATGGTGTCAGAAAGGACAAGACTTGGGAGGTGGCTAACATTTCTGTCACTTTCAACCTCTTCATCTTCGTCAATTATCCTAAATAATGAAGTGGAGAAAGAAAAAAATTATCAAGGCATTGTATTTCTTGTAGTAAATGAACAAAGTATGAAACTAAAAGAATTAAAACCACAGGTGCTTCATTGAGAGACCATGTAAGCTACAACACATAGGAAAGCGTCCAGACGAGGCTTTTTCACTGAGGACAAAAGTTTGGAAGAGTCAAGTTAGAAGAAGTGTCCTGGAAAACTGGGCCTGACATGGTGAGTAAAATGCTTCATCAAGCTCTATCCGCTCTCCCAGTAAGTGTCTGTTTTTCGTTCCCCAACTCCAGCATCACCACATGACCCTGAGCAGCCTAGGAGAGGAGAGCTGTGACACAGGACAGGCAGCACCAGGTGACATACACTGTCAGTACCTGTCCTCAATCTCTTGAAGCCTCCTTCGGGCAACTTCAAACTGTGGTTCTCCAGTTGTCTGATCCATTTCTTCACAAACAGCATCTAGCATGCTGGGCACAGAAAGGCCACTGGGACACGTGTTGACCCCATGACCCTGCTGTGCGCCCAGAACCCATTCATCAGCAACTGCACCAAGTTCAGCTTCAACCAGTCGTTTCTTTCTTACTGGACATCTAGAAGGAAGAAAAGCAATCCTATCACAGATGAAATGTAAGTCATTTCTCTAATGAATTAAAAAAAGAGATAATTTCTGAAAAGTCTCACTCTGTATCTTTGGCTGGCCTCATTCACAAAGTTCTGCCTGCCTCTGCCAAGAGTGCTGGGATTAAGGATATAGGTTACCAGGCCCAACTAAAATTTATTTAGTTAAAAAAAAAATCCATTTATTTTATGTTCAAGTTTCTGCCTGCATGTACATGTACTGTATGTGTGCCTGTGGCGGACAGGAGAGGTCTCAGAGCACTGGAACTGTACTGACGGAGATCTAAGAGGCGCCATGTAGGTGTGTGAAATGGAACCTGAGGCAAGAATAAGTGCCCTTAACCGAGCTACCTCTTTAGTCCCAATTTATTATTATTATTAATCAAATTATCATATATAAACATTAATATTTTTTCCTAGTTAGAACATCATGCCTTTTTCCCGTCCTCATACCTTTCCTGAAAAATTTTCTATTCCTTTTTTTTTTTTAACAATTTATGCAGCACTTCAAAGATTTTGAACTTTTAGATTAAAAGGAACATAATCTGTAGGACCGATCAAACGGGACACAAAGCAATAGAGAAGACAGAGGAGGGCTGGAGAGGGTTCAGCAGTGAGGAGTACTGCTGTTCTTCCAGTGGATAGAGGTTTGATTCCTAGCACCCACATGGTGGTTCACAACTGTGGTAATTCTAGTTCCAGAGAATTCTATACTCCATCCTGGCCTCTAAGGAACACTAGGCACATACCTGGTACACATGCATAAACACAAGTAACACCACACACATTAAAGAAGAAAAGACAAAGAAGCAATTTCTCACCAGCTACATTGCTCCACTCCCCAACTCCCCAATGGCTGGCTATAATAACTGTATTTCCTCACACCAAACACACTAATTACTAAAGCATGCTTCAAGTACCATAAAAGCAGGCCATTAAGGCCATTAGCACAAATTTCTTGCCTTTGGCTATGTGTCCCTAATAATGGGATCTACCTTTCTTTGTGTAATACACCCCACCTGCATCTTAGATATGTTAGTACTTAAGAGAGACCTTAGGCCTGTGGTGGCGCACGCCTTTAATCCTAGCACTTGGGAGGCAGAGGCAGGCGGATTTCTGAGTTCGAGGCCAGTCTGGTCTACAGAGTGAGTTCCAGGACAGCCAGGGCTACACAGAGAAACCAAAAAAGAGAGAGGGAGAGGGAGAGGGAGAGGGAGAGAGGGAGACCGAGAGACCCCGAGACCTTAGGATTCAAACCCAGCTTCTTCTTTTTGGATGTATTTGGAAACCAGGCCCTAGAAAGTGCCATAGTAAAGGACCCGTGAAAGCTGAGGATTAGACCCAGAGATCCCGATTCTCATGGCTGTGCCTTTTCAAAAGGCAGTTACCTGTTTAAGCTCTTATTTATCGGCACTGTGATATGTGCACTGCAAGCTAATAGCAGCATGAAGCAAGTAAGACAGTTGACTGCCTTGTTTTTCCTTTTCTTTTTGACAGTGTTTAGAGCACAGGCATTCTCCTGCATGGCAGTATGTGTAGAAACAGGACTAGACCACAGGCTTACAGCCAAAACGCTCACTCATTATTCCTACTCAGATTCACTAAACTGGGGGTTAAAGGAAACAAATCCATGTCAACACTGTGGAAATCAATATTAAAGTCTCTAGAATATATAAAATCTGACAGTGCCTCTTAAACTTGAATTTTTAAAAAAAAAAATCAAAATCTACTATACATTTGATTTAGAATTTTATCTCATTCTAGTACTAAAAATATCTAGGAGACAAGAAGCCAGAGGATCAGAAGTTTAAGGCCCGTGTCTGCTACACAGAAGTTTCAGAACAACCTGATTTACATGAAATCCTGTCCAAAAAAAAAAAAAAAAACAAACGGGGTGTGGTGGTATATGCCTGTGAAATACCAGCTAAGAATAATAAATTGAGAGAAAATGGGCAATTTCCCAGAACATCTAATAATTAAATGTATGAAATTGTTCTTTGACCTTAAGTTGTTGTTGTCTAGAGGGTTATGTTGCTCATTAATAACTTAAGATCAACAGTGATTAAGCCCTAAAGAAAATGTGAATTAAAAGGTTTCTAGGAGCTGGAGAAATTCAGTTAAGCGCATGTACCACTCTCGCAGGAACCAAATTCAGTTCCCAGCACCCACTATCAGACCTGCCCACAACCACCTGTAACTCCAGCTTCTAGGGACTCTAATACCCCTGGGCTTTGAACATCAACATACATGTGTGAATTCACACAATGAGCGCGTGCATGCGCGTGCGCACACATACACACAGAAAAACAAACGAGAATTTTAAAGAAAGGCTTTTAGGTACTGAGCAGAGCATCAAGGGTGGCAAGCTAAGCAGTACACATCTGGGCACGTATCTAAATGTGCAGGCCACCCCTGTTGTTTTAAAAACAAAATTCTCATCTGTTCATTTTACCAATCAAGACTCAAGAGCCAGATGCTGGGGTAAAATGAAGCAATTAAGAAGTTGGCTTAACTAACTCTGCAAGCTCAGAGAGGCAGAGCAGGCACCCAGGGAACCTTCCTACTCTAGTGACTGTCCCAAAGGAAGCTTTCTTTCTCCACGATGTCTTAAATACCTTCAACTCAAAGACAACCCCCCACCCCATTTACTTATGTTCACTTCCTGTCAGCGGGTTGCTTGCTCCTTTCTTGACCTAGGGTTGACTTTAGGGGTGCTCTAGAGCTGAGCCATACACAAGGTTTTTCTAGTTCACACAATCTTGTGGCTCACCATGTGATCAAATATCCTGAATATACCTCCTTTCAAGACTAATATCTTTCCATCCACAAATTAATGGCAACAAACCTTGTTTGTTATTTTTTGAGACAGGGTTTCTCTGTGTAGGCCTGGCTGTTCTAGAACTTGCTCTTTACACAAGGCTGGGCTCACACTCAGAGATCCGCCTGCCTGTCTCCCAAGTGCTGGGATCGAATGCACAAAGTCAAGTTTCTATACTCCCTACCCTCAGGCAGAGTTTCATTGTGTACCCTGGCTGTCCTTGAAGAGATCTGCCTGCCTCTGCCTCCTAAGCACTGGAATTAAAGGCGTTTGCAACCACATCTAGCTTAGTTTCTAGACCTTAAGCAAACATTAGAATCAGTAATTCAACCTATAGCACTATAGAAGACAACAAAGGTTCTTGAGTTATCCATTGCAATCCCAAGGCAACAAACCATCTGATCTAGGGGTTTTTGAGCTAAGTGCAAGTTGATCTAAAGCAACTCTTTGAGCTGGGGCAAATAGCTCAGTGGGAAGAGACCGTGTCATTTAAGTATGAGGACCTGGGTTCAATCCCCAGAACCAAAATTAAAAAAGCAAAGCATAGTGACTTGTAATACTAGCACCAGACAGCAGAGGCAGGAAAATCCCTGGGCTCTGTTTGACTCCCTAACCATACAAAAGCCAGGTGGGGGGCTATGGAGATGGCTCAATGGATAAAAGTACAATACTTGCTGTGCTAGCAGGAAGACCAGAGAATACAGGCACACGAGGTAGGCACGGGAGCCCACTTGTAATTATAGGGCTCAGGAAGTGGAGACGGGATTCACAGAGCAAGCCAAATGCAGGTTCTGGGTTTGGGTGAGATACTCTGCCTCAAAATACAACATTTAGAGTGATTGAGGAAGATACCTCATGTCAACCTTTGGCTTCCACATGTATATGCATATAACACACAACACAAAAACAAAACACGAAGCAAGGCTGGGAATGTTGGCACTTTAATCCCAGCACTTAGGAAGCATAGGTAAGTGGCCAAAGCTAGCCTGGTGTACATGGTAAGTTCCAGGACAATATAATGAGCCTTTGCCTCAAACAAACAAAAGGGGTAGTATGCTTGGGAGGCATTCTCTGAGTTAAAGGCCAGCCTTGAAAAACAAAACAGACCCCAAAACAACAAACCAAAAGCCAATCAAACAAAAGGTAAGGTGGGTGATCTCTATGACATCCAAGATGGGTTACTTATGCCTCCCTTACCTTTCATTCACAAAAAATAAGGTCATTTTCAAGACTATTATTTCTTTCCTGAGACAGGGTTTCTCTGAGTAGCCTTGATTGCCCTAACTTTGAGCTCTGCCTATCTTGGCCTCAAGTTCTAAGACTAAAAGGTGTGGGCCACCACCTTCTAGTTTTGTTTTGTTTTTTTCTTTTTAAGGAGTCTAAGTATCGAGTCAATTTAAATCCTTTTTTAGTTCCTTTTTTCCCCCTTTCTAAGACAGGGTCTCATGAATCCCAAGCTGGCCACAAGTCAGTAGGTTTCAGAGAATGAACTTCAATGTCTGAGCCTCCTGCCTCAACCTTCCTTACTAGCTCTTGTTTTGTTTTGTGCTTTGAGAGCTGGCCCCAAATTCTCCATCTCAGATGGGATTACTGGATTAAGTCGTCATACTCAGAATTTAGTTTCTACAAGGGTGGGGTCCAGGTAGGATCATACAAACTATCCAGGACAGGGCCTGTTTAGGCAGGGTGGGACAAATGAAGGGCAATGGGAGAGTAACTGCCTAGCATGTGCCAGGATCGTTAGCACAGGAAAGACAAGAAAGTAAGATGACTCAATGAGTAAGGATGCTTGCCCCTAAACTAATAACTTGAATTTGATCCTGGAACCTACACGGTGGGAGAGAACCAATTTCCAAATGTTGTCCTCTAATTTCCACATACCCATCATGGGATTTGTGTATATATTTAATAATAATGATTAAGAAAAGAAAAAAAGCAGCCACTGAGGCATGGTGGCATGTGGGCCTTTAATCTCAACATGCAGAGGCAAGCAGATCAAAGTTTGAGGACAGCCCTGGTTAGGCAGGGCTACATAGTGAGGCTGTCTTAAAACAAAAAACAACAGGTAGACTTTGTATATACTCATTCGGAATAAGCTATAAGGCAGTAAACGGAAATTCCAATGCACTGCAGAATGACCAGGTATTTGGCTACAAAGTTAAACAACTGGAAGCACATTTTTAAGTTTTTGGACTCTCTTCCTAAGGAGAAAGAAAACAGGTTGCAAGGTTACCTCCGTGGAGAACACAAACTCTTCCAATATATAGCTGACTTTTTTCGTTTTTACTAAATACTCTGTGTCTGTAATGACAGCTTAAAATGCAGGCGAATTTACCTCTACCTGCCCGCTACTCAGTTTCTGCCTCTCAAAGGCAAACAATGTCACCAGTTTAAAGAGATACATATGCTTCACCTTTTTCTCTTCAAATAGGATACACATGTTAAACTAACACAAAGAGGACAAATTGGTCCCGAAACTTACTCATCATCCTCCGCCAATCGCTTGTGTTTCTTTCTACAGTGAATGGAAACACTGTTGGAAAAAAACAAAAACAAACCAGTCACTCAAGACGGGAACTTAAATTTAAGATTTCTGCATCCTGTATTTCTCGTCTCACTTATCCGGATCTCCCGCCACAAATTGAACATTCCTTCCTTGGCCGTGATAGACCGACACAGGTCCCAAGTGATCACGTTTTGCCGGGGACTCCAAATAACCATAGACAAGGAAATCTGAAGTTGTCACTTCTGCCTGGGCAGTGACAGTTGAGCACTTGCCCCAAACCCATTTCTGACCCCCTAATTGGAACATGAGGAACCCAAGTGCCCCAGAGGCAGTCCAAGTTGTCCCGGCCGGCGGCCGCGCGTGTGGAGGGAAGCGGCCAGGCCGAAGGACCCTCGAGGTCGCCGGCTCTGCGACCTGGGACTCACGGTTAACGTCCCTCGGGGTTAACGGGCCTGCTCCGCCTGCTCACCGTCCGCGCGCTGTTCTCCCGACCGGGCTGCTTGGTGCGCCGCGGACACCCGGCCGCGGGGCCAGGTCATGGCCGGCGGCTCCTGGCGGGAAGGCCCGGCCCGCGAAGGCCGGCGGCGGCTGCAGGAAGTCCGCGCTGCCGCTCAGAGGGAGGCCGCTAAAGGGCCGGCCGAGGGCTGCCATGGCTTTCCAGATGAGGTTGCGTCCGCGACCCCAGTCGTTCGTGTTCCCAGACGCCGCAGTAGCCGCCACCACCGCTACCCACGAGAAACCGCCTCTGAGCTCTCTTCGATCCCCCAACCTCACGCCTTCTAGAACCCTCCACTCCGGACCGCCCAGAGACACGTCGGGATTTGTTGTGTATAGAGGGCCGCTGTCGTGAGGCATGCCGGGACTTGTGGTCCTCGAGGACTACAAGCAAGATGGCTGTCGGTGCACTAGGCGAATCGCTGAAGGACAGGACTCCCTCACAGGCCCCTAAAATGACAGACACTCAATCCCTAAACAGAACGTTGAGCTGGGCATGGTGGCTCATGACGATCTTCCCAGCTCTTATAAGGTGGAGGCAGGATGATCAGACACGTTCAAAGCCAGCCTTAGACTATGTAGCATGGTCTAGGCCAGCCTAGTCTACGTGAGACCTAGTCCAAAATAAAAAAGTTACATACTTCTGTTTCTTCTGTTTCTTAGTAAACAGGATATTAACAAATGTTTTCAGAGTTGAAGTGAGTAGTAAATGAATTAAAAATCTAGAGGTGGAGCTGGGCATAGTGGTGCACACATTTAATACCAGCACTCCCTGGTCAGAGGAGAGAAGATCTCTGTGAGTTCCAGGTCAATCTGGTCTACTTAGCAACTTCCAGACCAGCCACTGTTACAAAAGAAAATAAAAAATGTCTAGGGGTGGGACCTGACAACTGGAGTTATTATTCTAGAACCTACGGTGAACGGAACACCAACTCTAGAAAGTTGTTCTCAAACTTCCTTGAGGGGTGGGGGGGCTTGGTGGGTGCTCTCCGGGTACATATGCACTCTTATGCACACATACAATAATAATAATAATTAGAAAACTAAAAATTAACAAAAATCTGGGGATGGTGTGTGGCTCAGCGGTAGGGCCCATGTACAACACCTCCACAAAGTTTATATATAGAACAGCTGAATGTTGTGGCATACACTTCCAGTTAACCCCAGCAATGGGGAGGTTGAAGCAAGAGAATTGTTTGAGGTTAGCCTGAACAACAAAACAGGATGCCAAGGCTTAGAAAATTCTACTCCACATGCGTGAACATACAATGCTATCTTTTAATTCTTTTTGTGTTTTATTATAAATGAAACTGTTGATGTATTGGATCCCATGGACAATTACTAAAACCTTCAGAGATTGGGAGAGCAATTGGCATATCCAAAGATGGTTAATAATGTCTTCTGCTTAGGTTGGACAATAATAATGTCTTCTGCTTAGGTAGCAGGATTGGTCAATCCCATCACTGGTCATTCCTCATTTTTTTTCCATCTCAAAAAATGATTCCATCACCAACCTGAGTGGCTTTTACCAATTGTCAGCTACGCCAGCATAGCTGACTGAGTTCCTTGGATCGGAGGAGGGCTGAGGGCAAGAGAAAGAAAGACAAGGAGTCATCTGGTGAAGAACCAAATGCTGTATTTTCAACTGCATAGCTCCCTTTTATACTCCCCACAAAACAGGAACACAAACAGGAACAGGAATAAAAACAGGAACAAGGATCAAAACAGGAACAAGGAGACACACTTGGCAACCTACCACCTAAGTTTGGATTTCTCCTTGAGCAGTCTTCTCAGGGAAATGCATAGAGACGGGGGATCAGGCATAATAGCACAGGTGCAGAGGATGGTGACTCACAACCAATGTCATTTGCCATTTAGCCAAAGACGATCAAGGGCACACCAGTAACTGAACTAGAGTGGACTTAATGAAGTGAGTTAGTGTCTTAGCCAAGGGGGAGTTGAGTTAGTGTTAAATGTTTGGAGAAAGGTTCATAAAAGCGGCTTTGTACAAGCAGGTTGAGGTGGCATAAACCTGCAATCCCAGCATTTGGAAGGTTGAGGCAGGAAGATCTTAGAAATGGAAGGGCAGCCTCAGCTAAGAAGGACATGTAATGGATACGTGAGACCCTATCTCCAAAACAAACCCAAAAGCACCTTTGACTGGAATTAATTGTTAGGAATTTAGGATAATTCTATGACTCAAATAATTTGAGAAACAAAGGAAATTTCCTATTTTTATTTACTTTAGTAGAAGTCTCTGAGCTTAGAAAGGAGTCTCATCTTAGCAGATCAATGAAAGAACTAGATAGGACATGAGGACTAATTTAGGAAACTCTATTGTCCCACCACACCTTGTTACATGCTAGAAGTTTGCCTGTTTAGAGAAGGTACTAGATAGGATATGAGACATAATTATTCCTTCTACATCTCTGTGTTCTGACACAATTATCAAGTGGCTTTGCTTTCATCTTGAACTTTAGAGGTAACAGAATGATTTTGTTTGAGGACAACCTGCAGAATTCTTCAGGAGGACTCTGGGGCTGCCCTAATAGTATCATTATCTGACTCTGGTCCAGAAGACCATCTCCCAGAAAAAACAATGTCTGAGAGCTAAATTTTAGGGGCAAAGAAATGCTTTATGCAGTGGCCATTCAGGTTGTCACTGCCGGTTCAGTCCTATGTATTCGCTCTCCAAACATCATGTGTCCTCCCACAGGTCTTGCTTCAGCAAAACACCACGTGATCTGCATCACATGACACTACCAGAAACTTCCACTTCAGCCAATGAATGGAGAATTGCCCAAACTTCCATATTGCTAGTTCCTCCCCTCTGATACTTCTGAATTATTACTTACTAAAATCTATATTTCATCTTTGCTACCCCAGACTCAAGGCTTGCAGCCCTCTTGGGCCCTGATCCCCAACTCTTACATTATGGCAGTCTCTTTGTCTCTGTGTCCTACAGTTCTCAGACCTGGACCTCTTTCCTCCCCAGCAATGGTGATTCTCCCTCCTTTCCTGCATTCCTTCCCCAGGAACCTAAAAGTCCCACCTCTGTCTCCCTGCCCAGCCATTGGCCACCGGCAACTTTATTTACCAATCAAAGCCAACAGGGGGCAGGGACCCTCAATGTTTTACATGCAGACCTACAGGCTCCCGTATAATTTTGGGAGCTGAAATAACACAAGTAGCATTAGAACCAACACATGACACACTTTGACCTGTCTCTGCTTCAGACAAACGTTCCTTCACAAGTCTGCCTTTGCCTCTTACCTGTGTCCACTTCAGCTAAATGTTCCTTCACATGTTTGCACCAGCAAAACACCATCCAACCAACTTTCCAAAGAACCCTTAAATTTCCACTTCACCCATGCTCAGAATATGACACTAAATTACATTAGTCAAAGGCTTATCAAGATGAAATCCATAAGGCTACATATTTCCTACTTTTGTCCAATCAGAGGCATACTTCCTGCCTACGTGTGATCAAGCACAATCTGTGCAGTTGGAGCAACCAAGCTTGTTTACAGAAGTGAAAACACTCAGCTTGTTGTCTTACATGAACTAACTTACAGCATTTCATGCAGTTATCTGTTCTTGTGCAAGTGGGGCTTATAGGTTAGAGGCATTTTTGTTTTATAGATGTCTTCAGCACAGTAATTTAAACTTAAAACATAATATTAGCCATCACACAGAGAGACTGAGAGACTGAGATAGCGTCTTGGAATGATAGAGAGACAGCCTAACCAATAAAAGAAGAATATCAAGCCCTTTCTGGGAATAGGTGGAGATCTTCCAGGAACTTGTACCACCTCTTTCTACTCCTTCATGATCTGTTGCTTCTGGTCATGGTTGTTGGTAGGTGTCTTTAGCCTTGACAAGAGCTTAGACCAGTCTAGGGAAAGCTAGCCCTGTTCTGGATGAGATATTTATCCAACAGGGAAATTTCACATGTGCCTACGTATACTATGTGCTCTATGCAACTGTGTACTCATGAAAGTGTGTATGAACATATGAGATGATCTTCATATGTGTGCAAATGCACACATATACATGTGTTCCTTTTTTTTCTCAGAATTCACGTTTAATACTTTTAAAAAAGGAAAAAAAAAGAATTAACAGGTTGGTTTCTGTGACTGATATAAGATGGTCTGCCCAAAACACAGCTCAGACCATTACCAATAGTGTAAGAAAGGCTAGCCACACCCAGCCCTGTAGAAAAGGGTTATCTGGAATCACACCACACGTGTTTAAGCATGAGTAGAGTACAAGAGATTTTCTTCTGGCTGCTCAATGCTGTCTGGCAGATAAATGGTCTAGTGCTCACTTCTGCTTAGAGAAATACTCTTTGCTCTTTTGGACATCAGGCTTGATGGTATCACTGCCAGGTTTCCAGCCAGCTGGGCACACTTCACCATGTTTGTCAGTGAACTGAAAGGCCTGGACTAGTCTCAGAACCTCATCCACAGAGCAGCCAACAGGAAGATCATTTATTGTTATCTGGCGAAGGGTACCTTTATCGTCAATAATAAAGAGGCCCCTGAAAGAGATACCTTCATCAGCCTTTAAGACTCTGTACTCCTGAGCAATGGCGCGCTTGGGATCTGATATTAAGGGAATGTTCATGGGTCCCAGTCCTCCTTGTTTCTTGGGTGTGTTAATCCATGACTGATGACAAAAGTGAGAATCCACAGAAGCTCCAATCACTTGGCAGTTAAGTTTCTTAAATTCTTCTGCTCTATCACTGAAAGCAATAATCTCCGTGGGACACACAAAAGTAACGTCAAGAGGGTAAAAGAAGAACACAACATATTTTCCTTTGTAGTCACTTAGGCTGATATCTTTGAATAGTTCATCTGGCATAACAGCTGTAGCTTTGAAGTTGGGAGCAGGATGCCCAATTTTTGCATTTCCTGAAGACATCTTGCCATCAGCAGGGTGGAGCCACAGGTCTCACGAACAGAAGCAACCGTGAGAACGCAGGAAGAGGTCGCCCCGTTCCTTTTTATATAATGATACATATTGATGTGTGTGTACATGTGTGTGCTGATAGTTACATATTCACTTGTGTTGTTTTTAAAACAAAATCCCAAGCGTTCAATCACCAAAGGAAGACTCAGGAGCCAGACACTTTGGTGAAAGCCTGCTAGCTCAGAGAGGCAAAGAAAGCACCCAGCTGACCTTCCTACTCCACCAATGTCCCAGAAGGAAAAAAGATCCTTCTCCTTCTACACACTGTTTTAAATGCCCTTCAACTCAAAGACCTTTCTTTCCTTTTCCTGAGTTTCCTTATATTCACTCTCACTCAATTGGTTGCTCCACCTCTTGACCTATCCTTGACTTTATTTAGCTCTAGTTTAAGGAAAACTCTTGGATTAAAGGTGTGTTCTAGGGCTAAGCCACACCACAACTATTTGTTTACAGTAAACAGAAAGCTCTTGAGTTAAAAGTGTGTGCTAGGGCTGAGTCCTATCACAACAAGAAACAGGTTTCCCCAGTTCCAATCTCGGGGTTCACAACATGATCAAATATCAAGTACATACTTGTTTTTGTGTGTATATACCTGTGCTCACACACATGTTCTTGTCTGTTCTGTGTGTTCTTCTGTGCATATATGTACATATGTACATATATGTGTGCTCATTTGAAAATGTATGTCTAATGTCCCATACTTATATATATATATATGTGCCTGCCTGAGGAGTCACATACTCTGAGTAGTCATATGTCTTAACACTAAATATAGTAAAATATATATGTAAAATAATATTTTGGGTCAAAATAATGATAAGACACAGCTTTTAAAATATTTATTATTATTATTCTTTCTCTCTCTTTCTCTCTTTCTTTCCTTCTTCCTTTCTTTCTTTAAATAGAAATATTTAAAGTCAGGGTCTCTCTATATAGCCTTGGCTGTCCTTGAACTCACTATATAGACCAAGCTGGCCTCAAACTCACAAAGATCCCCCTGCATTTGCCTCTGTAGTCCTGGGTTTAAGTAGTGTGCCATGACACTCACATAAGTTATCCATTATATTCTTAAATCTCCACAAAGTTGAATGGAAAGATAACCAACTATTCATAAGACGAACGCAGTGCAGGACCATGAGGTTGACCTCAGCATTGCAAAACAAAAAGTTTAAGTAAAAACAAATGCCTTTTCTTAATTTGTATGTATGTCAGATAACTCCCAACTGTTTAACTCTGAGATTTAAGATAAACTAAAAAAAAGAAATAATAAAACTAATATATTTTAGTGGCCAATTTTAAAAGAAGATTTTTTAAAAGTTATGTGTTCGTTTGTGAGTGAGTGAAGATGCCTGTGGAGGCCAAGAGGTATGAGATTGTCCTGGAGAGCTGGAGTTTCAGGTGGTTGTGGGCCACCCAGTGTGAATGGTGGGGACAGAACTCTGGTCCTCTTCGAGAACAGTACAGGCTCTTAACCTCGTGTCACCTCTCCTGTCCCTGTAGCTGTTGGTTTTCATCCAGATCAACTGTGGACTTTTCTTATCCAGCCTCAGCCCCAGTGAGCTGAGAACAATGCCATTTGATCAACTCCTTTTGATATGTGATAGACATTTATACAGCAACGGGCAGGGAAAAGAGACATTCTGCTGGGCATCTTCAGGATAGGAAAAGAAACATCTTAGATTACTTTTGTGTGTGTGTGTGTGTGTGTTTTTTTCGAGACAGGGTTTCTCTGTGTAGTCCTGGCTGTCCTGGAACTCACTCTGTAGACCAGGCTGGCCTCGAACTCAGAAATCCGCCTGCCTCTGCCTCCCAAGTGCTGGGATTAAAGGCGTGCGCCACCACGGCCCGGCTATAAATCTCTTTTTCAAAGATTGTTTTAAAAACTATTTTATTGATTCGTTGTGAACTTCACATCATGCACCCCAATCCCAGTCATTCTCCCCCACTTGTACCTGCCCTCCACCCTTGCAAACCACCCCCCAACAGAGGAAAAAATTTCATGGAAGCTATAGTGTCACAATGAATCCCACAGTACACCCTTCTGTCCACACTTCTTTGCTTACAAATGTTCATTGCAATAACTTGTTGGTCTGGTATGAGGCCTCTGGCTTCTGCTACTCTATCAATACTGGAACCTCACTGGGACTCCTCTCAGATATCCTGTTGTTGCCCTGCGTCATGGAGATCCTGCAGTTTTGGATCTGTAGGACTGATCCCTTCATGCATTCCAGCACTTAATTCATAGGTGGGGTAGATGTTGGGGTGGGCCAATTCAAAGCCCTGGATCTGGACCTGAGAGGTATCAGAAATAAGCAGCCCACTGGCTTTCATGCTCTTAGAGCTGGCTTACCCAAAACTCCCTGTAACCAGGGCCAGCTTTACCTGGCTCCCAGGTGAGGAGCAGGACCTGTTCTCCTGAGTGCTGTAGCCAGTGGGGGACCATGGCCAGTTCTCCACTCTCATAATCCTGGGACCAGCTTTCCCATCTGCCACAGATGTTGAGGCACAAGGGAGGGGCAGAGGGTGTCTCCCCCTTGTTCGCACCACAGTTCAGCAGACAAGAGGCAGAGCTGGCGCTCATGTACTCAGATTCTTGGGACAGCTCACCTGCAACCCTCACAGCCAGGGCCAGCTCTACTATGCTGCCCAGGCAAGGTTCAGGGCTAGCTCTCCTGAGCTTCAGAAAGTAGGAGGCAGGGCTAGCTCTCCTGCACTCATGACCTCAGGGCCAGCTCTCCTGCCTAGGTCACAAGAAGTGAGGGTGGGGGACACTACCACATGGCAGACTAGAGACAAGGCCAGCTGGCTCACATTCATACCCTGGGGGTTGGCTCACCTGCACATTCCCCCATTCCCCCACCTCTGCCATCAGGGTTAGTTATAACTCCCCAGGTGAGGTGCTGGGGCTGCTCTCCCTAGTGCTGCGGCAGGTTTAGGGCAAAACAGCGCTCCTTCTTTCATGACCCTGTAGAGGCCAGTTCTCCCACGTCCAGTGTCCAGGGCAAAAGGAAGGGGAGGGGATCTCTCTCTTGCCAATGCCATGGCACAGCAGACTAGAGGCAGGGCTGGCTCGCCCACACTCATGTCCTCCAGGTTGTCTCACCCACAACCTACACATCTAGGGCGAGCTCCATTGTGCTGCCTGGGTGAGGTGCAGGACCTGCTCTTCCAAGCTGCCAGTGGTGAAGGTCAAGGCCAGATCTCACAACCCCAGGGCTAGGTCTCTTACCTGCCTCAGGTGGTAAGGGGCAAGAGGGGAGGAGGGTGTCTCTCCCTTGTCTATGTCACCAAAGGGAGATGAGTGGTAGGGTCAACACTCTTTTATCCTTGGGGGTAGCAAACCTTCAACTTCCCTGATGTGCAGACGCAGATGGCTCTCCGGAGTACTGCAGCTGGCTGTAGGTGGAGTCAGCTCTCCTGCTCTCATGCCTCTAGGGCCAGAACTCCAACAATGCCTGGGTGATGAGTGGGGCCTGTTCTGCACAGCCCTCAGACAGCAGCATGTCCCCAGTGGCAGTCCAGATCAGGGACATCTGCCTGGCCTTTGGTGGTAACAGACTCCTGCTGCTGTGGGGCCTGGGACGCAGACATGGCCCCAGTGGCAGCACAGGTCAGAACCCCACCAGGTGGCATCACCGGCTCCTCACATCAGGCTGTTCCTCACTGCCCTTGAGTTTGTAGTTCTGCCTCTCTTCACTGTGCCTATATCCTTCTGTTTCTCTTTCTCTTCCATTTCTCCACCATGTTCTTGCTCCTCTTTGTGGCACTCAGGGTCTCTGAGTGTCGGGTCGTCTCAGGAGTGCTCTTGGGAGCTATGTTGTGCTCCTGCACTATGACACCAGGCAGGGGTCATCTCGAGCATGGGGGTGGGAGTGTCAGGCTGGTGTTCATCTCAGGCTAGCTCCCTGTCCTGTGCCCCATGGCACCAATCTGGTGGTCATTTCAGGGTGCTTCCTCTACTTGCCCACCCAGTGGCCATCTGTCTTAGACTCACTTCAGCCCGTGACCTGTGGTCCCAGGATCTTCTAGTCTCTGGCTTGCTTCCTGTCCACCTTCCTGGGAGTCTGTCCAGCCCTGCTTGACCCTGGAGTGGTGGTCATCTCAGGCTCGCTTTTTTAAAGGGAATGTTGGGCTACTCATCATTCAGATGTTCACAGGTCAGAACACTGAGTATAGACATAGCCTCTCTCCTCTCTGCCACCTACTGACATACATGTGATACAGCAGCCACACCCGCAATGCCTCTAGGGGGAGGGGGCAAAAATCTTTATTTATTTATTTGTTTATTTGAAACAAGGTTTCTCTGTGTAGCCCTGGCTGCCCTGGAACTCAATCTGTAGACCAGGCTGGCCTTGAACTCAGAGATCTTCCTGCTACTGTCTCCTGAGTGCTGGGACTAAAGGCAAGAACCACCAGGATCTGACTTACAAATTTTACAATTAGGAGACTGCCGGGCTCGAGGTGAATATTGCCCCAGGGCTTCTCCAGAACAATGGGGCTGCCCTGTGCTGCTGATGGAGTGGGAGCATCAGAGGCTGCAGTCTGACAGTTGGGATACACAGACTCCGTTACTGGATTAAGATTTCTGAGGAAGAGCAAACATCAATTAAATGTACAATGTGTGCTTTATAGATTCATATCCATGGCAAGAGTTTTGGACAATAGTCTCAGCCAGTAACTCCTGTGTTGTTATTTCTCTTGATGTGTATGTTGTGGGGTATTCACCAGCGAAGACTGCTCAGACATGGGTTCAAGATAATAGAAAGCATTTATCAGGTAGCCAGCAGCTACACTGGGTATTAAGGAGCCCAGTGTAGCTCCAAGCTTTTCTCAGGGTGAGTTTTAAGCACAAAACCCATGTTCTGGATTGATATACTTCAGTTAACAAGAACAGTTAGCCAGAAACAGAACTATAGAAGCCAAAAGGGAAGGTTAGTACATTCAGAGACTTTCCCATAACTGTGGACTTTGATAGATTTTGGTCTTTGTTTTAGTTTTGCTGAGTTTTACAGCATTAATGGTGCTTTCATCTTGAAGTCCATTGTACTGGGACCTGGGGTGGGGCATCTAAGGCACTGTTACAGGTAGTGGTTAATGCAGAGGGTCAAGGCTGTTCAAATGCAAAAATATAGATATTAAAGACAAGAAGGGTCATTCTTACTGTAGGGTCTAGGCCAGGAGGAATATGCTGATATGCTCCAGGACTTGATGCCAGTGTGATGCCAAAGCCTCTCCCAGTGAAAGCCATGCACCTGATGTCATTAACCCCCAGGAATCTCAAGTCTCTTTCAGAGGTGTGACTGAGAAAGCCTCATCAAAGAGACATTGCCACCAGGGAAATTGCAGAGATCTCACAGGCGTGACTTATGGTGCTTTAACTAATCATTCTCATTTACTTTAGCATGAAACAGTTGCCCAGCAAACGTTGAAATGACAAGCAACGCTTATTCTAAGTACCCCTTCCTGTCCTTTTTCCTGGAATCTGATAGAGGAATAGTGTTTCAATGAATGGCATTGCCTTTTTCCCAGGTACCTTAAATTTTTGCAAGACAATATTGAATCTCTTTGTGACAACTGTAATAGATTTCTGTGTAGTCTGTGACCTTAGCATGTCCTGCTCAGTTTTATGTCAACCTCATGGAAGCTATAGTCGCTTGGGAAAATGACTGTCTATTGACAAAATTCCTCTCAGAAAATCTGCCTGTAGGCAAGTCTGCGGTGCATTTCCTTCATTAATGATTCACACGTGGGAGGGGCCATCTTATGTGGGTGGTGTCACTACTGAGAAATCGAGTACAGGGTTCCATTAAAAAAAAAAAAAGCAGGCTGAGCAAGTCAAGGGAAGCATGTCGATAAGCAACACCCTTCCATGGCCTCAGCATCAGCTCTGCCACCAGCACCCTGCCAGGAGAGGTTCAAGAACGGACAGAGATGTGGAACTGTGCACTGAAAGAACCCCTTCCACCTCACAAAAGCTGCTATCAGGTGTTTTCTCACAGCAACAGGACCCCCAGCTAAGACATAGTGGTGTTGGTCATTTCCGCAGAGTGACATAAGACAGTCCGGCAGGAGCAACTGGAGCAAGGGAAGTCTTCCTACAGTCTGTCATGGTGGGGACAGCATGGCCTCACCAGTGTGAGCAGCCAGCTGCTCAGGAGCATGTGCAGTCAGGCAGCAGAGGGAGATGACAGTTCCCTTACTCCTCTACGGAAGGCAAGGCTCCAAAGGAAAAATCTGCCACACACATCTGCAAGGAGGCTTTGTCTTGTTAATTAGACTAACTTGGATAATCCCTCTCATGCAGCCAGAGGCCAGTCTCCCAAGTGCTTTAGGAGGGTCTGAAGGCCTTGGCTCAGGACTTGTCCGATGAGCTGACAGGATCTGTGGTCTTCTCTCCGCCCTCCAACAAAGGACTCTGAGATTCCTTGCCAACCAGCTCCTGAGGGGAAGACATGGGGGCTGGGACAAGCCAGCCCTCAGCAGGGAAGCCAAAGCCTGCCTGGTTGGCCATGCTGTAGAAGGTGTGCACCATAGCTGTCAGAGACTCTGAGAGCTGTCTGAGCTGAGAGAGCTGCTCCTGGTTGAGCAGGGAACCATACTGCTGGTCCTGCATCTGGACTGTGTCTCCATAAATCTCCTCAGACTTCCCCCGCAGAAAGTTCACCAGGCTCTTCCGAATTGGTGGTGGGTATGTGCCCTGAGGCTCTGGGCAATGGGCTAATCCATCTTGGTGGCCATTGGCTTTTGGCTCAGCTTTCTTTACTGAAGTCTTGAGTCTCTTTTTCCCAGGGGAGCTGCCCTCATTTCCTATGGAAAACCCTGAGAGTGAGAGAATGACCAGGAAAGTTCCCATCCTCCACACTGCAGAGCCTCCTCTAGAGCCTTCAGAGCCTGGAGGCTGCTGGCCATTCCTTCCCACGCATGTCAGCCTCCACACTGGGCAGGGCTGAATTCCTTCTCAGATCCCACATGCACTGAGACCCTGGCCTCTCTTAAGTGCCCTGAGGTACCTAGCCACCTGCCTGCCTGAGCCTTGTAGAAGGCAGATGGGGGTTGACCCTTGGGGTAAAGAGAATACTTACCGGTTCTGATCGGGCTGCAGCTTGAGTCCTTGGAAGAGTGTCGTCTTTTCCTGGCTGTTTTCACCATCTGAGCTGAAATGTGATTGTGGCTTGATAAGGTGAGGGCAGGTGTCATGGAAAGCTTTCAGCTGCACACCACACAGCTAGTCCATCCTCGACACCCAAGCATGGACCCAAACAATGCTGCCCAGCTTTTTCCCACAGCCAGGAAGTCCAGGGACCCGGATGCCTCCAAAGCAATTAGGGCCGTGCCAAGGGGAACTCCTATCTCACCACTTGGAACCCTCACCCTAGAATAACCAAAACCTACCTGATCCTTCAGTGTGCTTTCTGGAATTGCTGTCTGATTGGCTGGACATCTGCTCATTTTCACTTGGTTCTGATCCTAAAGCCAGAGAGAGTTTAGATGACAGAGTGCCTTGACTATCCTGTAGCCTGTGACTGACACCCTCTCCTCCCCCCCAGGTACATACTTCCTTCTGTGAGCTCACAGTTTGAAGGAATTTGTCCTATTTTCCTTCAGATGACCACTGTCAGCCATTTTATGCCATTCCTACCTGCCCCTCAAAACCATCACAGCTCTGTGGCTGGAATCTAGCCCTCTCCCCTCCCCTGTCCCAATGCACCTCAAAACCTGAGCTTTGTTTGCACTGCAATGGGAAGCCAGTGTCTCCCCCTTTCCTCTCAGCTGCTTCTCCTCACCTGAGGTCCTTTGATCAGAGGTGCTTTGTGGCTGGGTAGAGAGGTCCAGTGGTTGACAGGAAGGGCCTAGATCAGGCGTTTCTGAATCCATACTCAGGTTGAACTAAAAGGCTTTCTCTCTCCCCCGAACAGAAGGAATTATGGTTAGCATATTTGTTGGAGTTATCTAGAGTAACAGAACTTACAGAATGAGTCTCTCTCCGCATAGAGGAAAGAAATCTGTATTAGAAAGACTTACAGGCTGTGGTCTGGCTAATCCAATAATGGCTGCTTATGAACAGAAGAGTCCAGTAGTTGATCACTTCCCAAGGCTGGTTGTCTAAGGTGGTCTACAGTATATGCTGGAATCCCAAGCAAGTCTGATACAAGGCCAATGGAGGAAGATACTTGCTAGCAAGGGGAGAGCAAGCTGGCAAAGACAGAAGCTTCCACCTTGCTTGTTCTTTATATAGGCCTCTAGCAGGAGGTGTGGCCTGGATTAGGGTGGGTCTGCCCAAAGATCAGGATTAAAGGTGTATCTCCAGCTCAGAGATCCAGAATGGAAGTGGGCCTCCCACGTCAAATGATTTAATTAAGTGAAAATCACTCACAGGTGTGCCCAGACGGGGTTGGGTTTTAGTGACTTTCTGATGTAGTCAAGTCGATGCTATCCTGCTACAGATGCCTTTTGTAAGTCCCTTTGGTGGCAAGGCTCTCTCCTTGGCTGTAAAAGTCCCTCCTTGTCTAGGGAAGAAAACTTTTCTTCTTGGACTTGAGTTTCAGATAATGATGCGGCATTTGTGGTGTCTTTACATAATGAGCCAAGGTAGATATCAAAGCCAGGGACAAAGGGACAGTGGACAGCATGGCAGGGCATGCCACCACTAGTTCTTCCTCCTCTTTTCACCAAGAAATGTCTTAGACATAGACAAGCCTTCTCAGACACTAAATTAAATTACCATTATAATGACAATATATGCGTATCCTTAGCAATGACAAACAGAAGGCTGCAAATGCTGGCTTAAAGACTCTGAATACGATAATCTAAACAGACAGAGAGGGCTGTGTCAATGTACCCCTCTTTTTTGAAACGTGGTCTCACTGTAGCCCCATTTGTCCTGGAACTCACTTTGCAAACCAGGCTGGCATAAAACAGAGTTTTCTCTGGTCTCTGCCTCCTGTGTCTCAGGAGAGATTAAAGGCCTGAACCACCACACGCAGACCCAAAATTAAACACTCCCCAAATTAAAACCAATCAAATTTATTAGATCAAATGTGATTGAATTAAGTCAGTCAACTCCAGTGTTTATCAAATACTGAGGATGAGACACCAAACTTCAAGCAGAAAGCTAGAAGAGGCTAAACAATCACATGCTGAGACAAGCCTGACATACAGACAGACAACCACATGCTGAGACAAGCCTGACACACAGACAGACCAATCTCAAGAGAAAGGGAGAAAGTAAGGAAGTCAGCTAGCCAGTCAGTCAGGGAAGAGAAAGACTTCCCCTCACCTCAGCCTCTTCACAGTGTTCTGGGAGCCCACTCTCCCCACCCTGTGCTGGGATCTGCCATCCATGTTTACCCTTCCCCACGACTGCTTTCATCCTCTCCAAGCCCTTGGTCCTTTCTCCTGAAAACCCATTTTGAATGTCAACACTTGGCCATTCATCTCCAGATACCTGATGGGCCAGTTCTCTGTCTTTTTACAGATAATAATAATAATTGCCAATCCTAAACCCTTCTCCTACAAGGAATCTGTAGTGCATACTTGCTAATCATCTCCCTCTTCAACTCAGATAGAATTAGAATTTTTATTTGTTTTTGTTTTGGTTTGGTTTTGAGACAGGGTTTCTCTGTATAGCCCTGGCTGTCCTGGAGCTCACTCTGTAGACCAGGCTGGCCTCGAACTCAGAAATCCACCTGCCTCTGCCTCCCAAGTGCTGGGATTAAAGGCATGCACCACCACTGCCCAGCGTGTGACATCACTGCCCGGCTAGAATTTTTAGGGCTTAGCAGTAATTACAGTGAGAACCAGAGGTGCCTCGTTGAGTTGTAGAGGTGATTTTAATTATCCATGATTTTGGATTCTATGGAAGGATTATTAAGAATGAAACCACAGGAAGCATCTACACCACTCCTGAATACTGATGCAAAAGCCTCCTGCTCCTTAGAGATGAATACATGCTAAGGTTTCCTGTAGAGCTACCCTCCATAACTAAAGATATGGGGCCAATCTAGGTATCCCAAGAGATGGAAATGGATAAAGAAAATGTTGTGTGTAGTTCAATAGAGTCCTTCCCATCCATAAAGAAGAATGACCTCATACCCTGTAAGAAAAATGGGTGGAGATGGGGATACTCATATTGAACAAATTAGGCCAGTCTCTTTAAAAAATATATATTTATTTTATTTATATGAATACACTGTAGCTTCAGACACACCAGAAGAGGGCATCTGATACCATTACAGAAGGTTGGTTGTGAGCCACCATGTGGTTGCTGGGAATTGAACTCAAGACCTCTGGAAGAGTAGTCAGTGCCCTTAACCGCTGAGCCATCTCTCTAGCCCTAGGCCAGTCTCAGAAAGATAAAAATCAAGCTTTCTTTGACTGTGTAATTTCCTAAAGTCAATTGTGATCACATTACATCATGCATACACATAGAATATGAATGAATAGTGTTTCCCCGGGAGGCCATGCTGTTCAACTCCTTTCTAAGCTCTTCTGTGTGTTTGTCTCCATAGATGTGTGTGGCTCTCACCCTTGATCAGAGAAGTTTCTTGTTGCAGAGGCTGAAGGTTAATGAGGAGTCAAAGCTGTCCAAATGCTGAAAAAAGAGACCACGAATGATCATCTGTGGACGGAATATCTACACCAACCCTCCCCAACAAGGCTCAAGGAGCATCAGGGGAGAGAGGGTGGAAGGACTGTAAGAGCCAGAGGACAGAGAAGAATGCTGGAGAAGGACACGGACAGGACACGGCTATTCTATACAAACTCTCAGCAACCATGGTTATGTGCTCAAGACCTCCACAAATCAAGAGAATTAAAAAATATCAGCATGGACTGGAGAGATGGCTCAGTGGTTAAGAGCACTGACTGTTCTTTCAGAGGACCTGAGTTCAATTCCCAGCAACCACATGGTGGCTCGAAAGCATCTATAATGGGATCTGATGCCCTCTTCTGGTGTGTCGGAAGGCAGCAACAGTGTACTCATTAAATGAATTAAATTAAAACATTAAATGAATAAATAAATCTTAAATTAAAAAAAAATACCAGCATGGGAGCTGGTTAATGGTGGGCCATGCCTTTAATCTCAGAAGTAGGGAGGCAGAGACAGGCCAATCTCTGTGAGTTTGAGGCCAGCTTTGTCTACAGAGTGACTTCCAAAACACAGATAAACTCTGTCTCAGGGGGAAAAAAACCTTGCAAAGGAACTGGACCAGCTTGCACATACATTTAATGCAGCACAATGAGGCAGAGGCTAGCAGAACTACGTGATATCAAGGACATCCTGGACTACACAGCAAGTCCCAAGACAGCCTAGGCACCATAGAAATTCCCAGTCTCTAATTAATTACTTAGTTAATTAATTAAATAATTAATTTAGCATGAGACTAGAGATGGTAGCCAGCTAAGAGGCTTGCTGCACTATGAGAATCAGAGTTCTGTTCCCAAGAGCCTTGTGGCACCTCAAAACCACCTGAAATGCTACCCCAAGGTGCAGTGGCACCCTCTACTGGCCTTGTAAACACATTCAATACAAGTGACGCAGGCAAGGGCACACAGACATATAAATAAAAATGAATCTTTTTTTTAAAAGGTATGAAGCTCAGAGGTGGATGCTAGATGTCTGGGGAAGGGAAGATGGATGGAGGGAGAGTGGGACTGGGGATGAACAAGATACATTGTGTATACCTGTATGAAGCTTAAGAGAAAAGAGAAGAAATTGAAAAAATGTTTACTTGGACACATCATGAAATAGTGTAGCAAAATGAAATTAAGTTTGAAACAGAAAAAGAGGAAAGCAGAACTGAAACTGTCTCAGGGACAGAGTAAGAAAATAACCAGTAAGGAAAGGCTCCAGTAAATTGAATCCCAAAGAGATAAGGATAATGCAGGCAGAGAACTCTGAGTTCACAGAAGGAAGTATGTGAACCTGGGGGGCGGGGGAGGGGGAGTCAGTCACAGGCTACAGGATAGTCAAGGCACTCTGTCATCTAAACTCTCTCTGGCTTTAGGATCAGAACCAAGTGAAAATGAGCAGATGTCCAGCCAATCAGACAGCAATTCCAGAAAGCACACTGAAGGATCAGGTAGGTTTTGGTTATTCTAGGGTGAGGGTTCCAAGTGGTGAGATAGGAGTTCCCCTTGGCACGGCCCTAATTGCTTTGGAGGCATCCGGGTCCCTGGACTTCCTGGCTGTGGGAAAAAGCTGGGCAGCATTGTTTGGGTCCATGCTTGGGTGTCGAGGATGGACTAGCTGTGTGGTGTGCAGCTGAAAGCTTTCCATGACACCTGCCCTCACCTTATCAAGCCACAATCACATTTCAGCTCAGATGGTGAAAACAGCCAGGAAAAGACGACACTCTTCCAAGGACTCAAGCTGCAGCCCGATCAGAACCGGTAAGTATTCTCTTTACCCCAAGGGTCAACCCCCATCTGCCTTCTACAAGGCTCAGGCAGGCAGGTGGCTAGGTACCTCAGGGCACTTAAGAGAGGCCAGGGTCTCAGTGCATGTGGGATCTGAGAAGGAATTCAGCCCTGCCCAGTGTGGAGGCTGACATGCGTGGGAAGGAATGGCCAGCAGCCTCCAGGCTCTGAAGGCTCTAGAGGAGGCTCTGCAGTGTGGAGGATGGGAACTTTCCTGGTCATTCTCTCACTCTCAGGGTTTTCCATAGGAAATGAGGGCAGCTCCCCTGGGAAAAAGAGACTCAAGACTTCAGTAAAGAAAGCTGAGCCAAAAGCCAATGGCCACCAAGATGGATTAGCCCATTGCCCAGAGCCTCAGGGCACAGACCCACCACCAATTCGGAAGAGCCTGGTGAACTTTCTGCGGGGGAAGTCTGAGGAGATTTATGGAGACACAGTCCAGATGCAGGCCCAGCAGT